ATGGTATAATATATTATTAAAAAAATTTTTTTATATACAGTGGGTTGCCAAGATATTAGGGACAGTGCAATTTTTCTGTTATTTTTATGTCAATATTGCCAGGCTTTACATAGAACTTACAAATAAGATAAAATAACCAGAACAGGCATTAAAAATAAAAATATTTCACGAAATTTCATTAAGAGGCACTTGCAAAATCAAAATTAATAGAAAAATCGCACTGTCCCTAATATTTTGGCAACCCACTGTAAATTTAAATATAACTCAGAATTAACAAATAGTAATAATAAGAGATAATAATTAGAGATAATTTGACAATTGTCTTTTGCTATTGTCATTTGGTTATTTATCAATCTTTTTTTAATTTGCGCGTTCAGAATATTTATTTTGCAGCAAAAAAGTATAAATTACAAATTTTATTCTAAGAATACAAAGAAAATAGAATATGCTCCTGAGTTGTAGATGAAGTTATTTGTAGGCATGCACAACAGCTGTACACTGGACACTCCCTTCCATGTCCAGTTTCAGTATTTTGCCGATCCCTGGACGTACTACATATATGGTAATGAATATAGCCTCACTTCACTTGTTATATCACCTCCCATGCGCAGAACGAGATCATTCTTTCGTTGAACGGAGTATAGGATTATTATTGTATTGAATAAACCTCAGATTTGATTATTTTATATCAAAACTAGGTTAAATCAAAGTAAAAAGAAACAATCGCACATTTAAGTGACTCACACTTGAATCGAGTTCCTAAAAGTCGAAAGTTCTAAGCTTAGATCCATGAGTCGATTAATTACATCAATTAACGTCGAAATTCTGAAATGATTCGGTATATGCACATGGTGACCTGTAAGACTGTAACGATATACGGATAAACTTCTGAGAATATCTTAAGACGAAAATACCAAAAATATAATGGTTTTTTAATTATAATTTAAAGTTAGCAAATCACTAAAAAATTGCATGTTCAGATATGGTATAATGCAAAGTGTTAAAAGCGGAAGCTAATTGTTATCTCTTGTTGAAATCGATGTAAAGATTACGCATACAAAGATAAAATATTGATATTTGTTATATATTGAAAAATTATTATACATAGCTTCGACATTTTGTTTTGGTACATTTTCGTTTCAAAATGATCTCAGATGGAATCTCCCGTTAAGTGTGTTACAGTTTTTACAACACTTTGTGTATCTGTATTTATATATATAAAATTAATAAACAGGAATTGCATTTTAATGTTTAATATATATTTAATTTATCTACGAATATTTTGTACATATTATGTCTACTTAAAATAAATTAGCGTATTCCGTAGAGGGGAGTAAATATTTTTTAAATATTAACAACGTAATGACTTCACTGCGATGAGTTTAGGAAAGTTTATATATAAAAGATATACATTTATATATGTATATTTCAAAGATAATTCTGCATTTATAGAAACAAAGCAATTATATGTACAGTAATTCTTATTTTCTGAATAATCCGAAATAATTTCAAGATGAAACAATATTATAGTAACTTATTTGTTTTGTTTCACAAACATATAGAAAACTAATATGAGGTGTTGGTATAGAAACATGCGTACATACGATAATTATTCATGGAAATAGGATTCTATTAAATAATAGTCATTCTTTTGATCTCTTGTGTTAATGAAGCTGAATTTATAAAGCTGAAATCATAAAGTGCGTATTCAACAATGAAAA